AATATGAAGCAATTTTTTTTTACGACTGATTTATCTATTTTTAATGATTGATAATTTTTTTTAAAAAACAAGAGGCCCATGGGCCACATCGCTCACCTGAGCACTGTGGCTAGGAAAAAGTAAAAATTGGTTTATTATTGAAAAGTTTAAATCCAAAAGTAGTCCCATGATCAATCATGGCTTTGCTTTTCTTCAGAAGGTTATTTTAAAGAATTTTCCTATATATTTCTATTTAAAAATTTGATCATCCCTTGTGGCCCCGTCCTACCCCCGGGGGTCATGATTTGAACAAACTTGAATCTACACTACGGGAGTACCTGAGGATGCTTCCATATAAATAGGATCAATTATGGCTTTGTCATTCTTGAGAAGAAGATTTTTAAAGAATTTTCCTATATATTTCTATGTTAAACTTTGGAAGGCCATTGTCACCCCACCCTACCCCCGGGGGTCATGATTTGAACAAACTTGAATCTACACTACCTGAGGATGTTTCCCCATAAGTTTCATCTTTCCTGGCACAGTGGTTCTTGAGAACAAGATTTTTCAAACATGCCAACAAATTTTTATTAATTTCCAATTATCTCCCCTTGAATGAGGGCGTGACCCTTCATTTGAACAAACTTGAATCCCCTTCACCCAAGGATGCTTTGTGGCAAGTTTGGTTGAAATTGGTCCAGGGGTTCTTGAGAAGAAGTCGAAAATATGAAAAGTTTACAGACAGACATCTGGACAGACAGACGGACGGACAGCTAGATAGACGGACACCGGACAAAATGTGATCAGAAAAGAGCTAAAAATGAAACATTCCTCACCACAAAAGCCAGAAGTATATAGGGACCACCACCAGTAACATGTTTCTGGGAAGAACCAAAGCCATAAGAGAATCCATGCAGAGATAAATATCAATAGTCCTGAAGCTTCGATGCAGGACCAAGTACGAGAATTGCTACAAACACTACTCCGGAGACTTACCTTTTATTCTATGATGTAATGTGCTTTTTCCACTCTGCTGCTGGTTCCCTCATAAGCTGGTACCAAGGACAGTTCAGGATGTCCTGTCAACTTTATTCCTCAACTTCCTGTCCTGGACTGAAAAGCAATAAGTGAAAATCTTTAGTGTTGCCTAGTGACTTTGAATTAAAAAGAAAGTTGCAAGATTGTGAGGGGGGTGGGGTATTGATGCTGTGCATTTTAATTAAATGTACGAAATCTGTATTTCACAGTTTAATGCATTCATGTATTTTGTGAATTGTCTTACATGTAATGATTGTTGCTATGTATTATTAAGCACTAAATCTATTCAACTGCATGTGTAAATGGGGAAAATGTGGATATGTAAATGATGTATAATTGCAATGTGTAAAATGTGACATTTTCTTATATCTGTGAGTCTGTTCATGTAATTTTTTTTTTCATTAATTATTTTATTTATCTTAATAAAATTATTTCAATTAATAATATTGTTTTTCTTACCTGTCCGATGAACTCGATCAACAAAGGTTACAGAGGTGAATCAGTGTTTCAGCTAGGGGGAAATAGAGGGGCGCTGCGCCCCGCCCTCAAATCAGTGCGCCCCTCTGCCCATTACAGGCGCCCCTGTGTCCCTTGTGGGTGACCAATTTCATTCTGACTGTCCTTTTAACTCATTAAAATAATTAGTGTGTTCCAAGCCAGATTACGTAAGGCTAATCAATAGTTCACACCTCCTGCCATAAACGATTACGTAATGAACTCGCACTACGGTACCTTTCTACTGTACACACTTTCAATTACAGGTGATTAGGTAATTACTTTGATCATTCAAGTTCAAGTTCATTTATTCGCTCAACACCATATTAAATACATGGTACATGAGGACAAAGATAAATATTTACAACATGTTTATATATATAATCAGGTCAGAGGTATAAGTATATGATATACACAATCAGAAAATGAGAAGGGAGAAAAATGGAAAAAGAAAATGAAGAAAAAAATGTAATAAATAAAACATGTAATAATGAAATAAATAAGGGGAACAAATTATGGAGGACAGACTAAATCGTATATTTTTGATATAAACATACAAAGTTTTTTAAGCGACATAGCATCTTGTTTTGTCATCCGTTGAGAAAATTTCAAAATATTAGGTCTAGTAAAGTAGTACTCATTAATATACTTTTTCCTGATTTTTGACAGTGCATTACATTCAAGTATGAAATGAAATTCATCGGCAACATGTTTTGCATCACAGAGTGTACATAATCTTTCATTTAATGGTATACCAGTCCATCTCCCCAGCTCAACTGGTAGACGGTGATTAGTAGTACGGAATTTGACAAGTATTTTTCTGAATTTTAGTGGTAAAATACTTAAATAATTTTCATACTCAAAATTTGTTTTAAAAGTCTTATACAAAATACATTGGACAGCCTGAATAAGGGTTAAAGGCTAAAATATGACCATGCTATCTGTTTTAATCTAAAACAAGAGTCTTGTTCTATAGCGTTCTAAAAATAAATTAGAAAGTGAAAGTAGCATGAACAATGACCTTCAGCATTCTAAATGTGAATTGTAGACGTTTTGAATGAAACAATGATGGAATTTAATATCTTAATAGCAAAGAAATATGTATAAGTAATTTTTTCACTCTGGAAGAGATTTTCAGCTATTATATATGTAATTGTACTCATGTCATATGGCAGGCTGAAGTTTAAAATCTTAGTATCTATATACCACTCATATTATTTTAAGGTAAAACAAACAAAACAGATAGTTGACATATTAAGTTGTATGTTTGATAACAACTAAATAAATAATATAAGAAAATGTTATTTATGACTAAAAAATATTGTAACTATAGATTTAATTTTAAATTGTTTGCCAAATACAAACTTAAGCAATTTTGAATTCAGTAATTACATATATTGTACATGTAGATCTTCATGTACTGTAATATTAAATGTGAGACAACAGATAGTTTACATGAATTATTATATGTACTACATTCTATTTCTAATCAAGAATAGAGAATGATTGTAATCGATTGAAGAAAAGTCACATTTATCCTAATTAAGATTACCTTTCAATCAGAATTTATATATATTGTTACAATAATAGCTAAAGTTAATTATCAATAAGGTTAAACAAATAAATCATATTTAAAGGAACTATATATTCATTATAAGGGTGAAGAAATGAGATAGCTTATGTACAGGATGTAAGAAAAACTTGCGACAACGGTATCACCGTATGTCGCGAAAAAGTGCCCTTCTCTTGCACCCCTCCATTTTCAGATCCTAGCTGGAACACTGCTTAATGGTAGAAATATGGGTATTACAGGTGTCAAAACTCTCTGTTGATGACCAGACTGCATGCCGCACTGTAAAATCACCATTTTGGATCTTTAAAAGGGGAGGCTACTCCTGAAATCAAAGAAATTGTCATAAAAATGAGTGACCTGATTTTCTTTAGGTCTCACACAAGGAAATAATTTCACTATATGTTACTATATGTTACTATATAGCTTTAATTAAATAAATTAATTGACTAGACTCTCAGCAGATAATTCATGAAATAGAAAATAAAGATTAATGCTTAGACAAAAATTTGAGATCAGAAAAAATATACCCCTTATGCGGCTTTTAAGAAAGAAAATTGAGAGTAAACATACCTATACCCCGAAATACACATGGGCAAACAGCCAACACACCATCGAGGAAGTTACATCGATCATACGTACCTAAAAAAAAAAAAAGAATTCCCTTTGATTCAGTGGCACAATTCTGCTGATATGATATTCCTTAAGTGCATGAGTCCAAAATTAAAACTGTAGACCTACATAAAGTTGCTGAAAATGAAAAAAGTAATATTATTGTCTCTATATACATAGAAC